ATTAAGCATTCAACCACTGTTCTAGTCCAAAGAGCTAAATTGCTCTGTATTCATCTAAAAATACAACATGGTTAGGTTTTTTAGAGCAACTTGTTTTATAAAGCAATTGGTACCACTTACCAACTTTTATATTAGTTACATTTCTGTTATTGTGATAAAATAAAATCATGCCCAAGGCAACTCGTAAAATAAAGCCTTTATTTTGGCTTACAGTTCCAGAGATTCAGAGTCAACAATGACAGGGACAGCATGGCAGCAAGTGGCGGGCGTGACAGCAGGAATAGGCAGCTGAGAGCTGACATCGTGAACAACAGTGGGAAGCAAAGAAAACAAAGTGGAAACAGGCAAGACTTTTAATACCAAGGCCTGTCCCTAGTGATGCACTTCCTTCAGCAAGGTTGCGCCACTTAAACTCCTACAAAGAGCCCCACCGACATGTCCCATTCAGACTTCCATACTGTCCCACTTCCAGCATGCCCTCTTCAGGTAGGAACCCCAGACTTTCATCATTAACCTCATTTACCCCCACTGAGCATCCTTGTCACCCCATCTCTAGCCAGGGAACATAGATTCCTACCACTAGCTCCAAGCATCATCAAAACCTAAGGGTCAGCGCCCTTCAGACAGGTGTACTATACTCCAGGAGCTGATGTTACAGAGTTCATGAGTTGTCTGACGTGGGTTCTGAGAATCAAACTCTAGTCCTCTAAAAGAGCAGCAAGCACTTTTAACTTTTGGGGCATCTCTCTAGCCCCAACATATTGTTTTTAATTTGTGTTTCTTTTATGTTTTTCGTTTGCTTAATTGATCTTGCTGAGACTACCATTATTATATTAAATAAAAGTGATGAAAAATATATCTTTGTTATAGTCTCAATCTTTGAAACACTTTCAAAATTCTCCCATTGCATGTGATATTGGCTGTAGGTTATTCATGTGGCAGGCCTCGATATTTTGAAGTATGTGCCCTCTGTATTGAGTTTGTTGAGGATTTTTATCATGAAGGGAAGTTGTATCTTATAGAATTCCTGTTCTGTACAGAGATTCCATTTTCATTGTGTTAATACATATGATTTTCATATTGTGGTAATGGGAGCTTCAAAAAGAGATTGGCAGAACTCATTCTATTTGTGTTTTTTTTTTTAGTATTAAGACTTAGAGAAAATGAATTAGAATTATCTTTTTAATATTTTCTAGAATTCAACAATAAACTATAAAGTGTTGTAGAATATTATTTTAAGGTGTGTTACTTTTGTTCATGTTGCATTCACTTAACCCTGTGAAGCTGTGTTACTGTGCCTTGTCTAAAACACCTGGTGGTCTAATAAAGAACTGAATGGCCAATAGCAAGGCAAGAGAAAGGATAGGCAGGGCTGACAGGCAGAGAGGATAAATTGAAGGAGAAATCTGGGAAGAAAGAAAGAAGTAGCCAGAGAAGGAGGAAGACATCAGGGCCCAGCCACCCAGCTACACAGCAAGTCACAGAGTAAGAAATAATGAAAGATATACAGAAATAGAGAAAGGTAAAAGCCCAAAGGCAAAAGGTAGACAGGATAATTTAAGTTAAGAAAAGCTGGCAAGAAACAAGCCAAGCTAAGGCTTGGCATTTATAATTAAGAATAAGCTTCTGTGTGTGATTTATTTGGGAACTGGATGGAGGGCCCCCCAAAAGAGTAAAAACAAACAACAACAATCAAGCATGGTCATTTTGGGGGTGGGTAGATTTTGTTACTGCTTCAATGTAGTTACTAATAACTGGTCTACTTTCCAGCTCTTTTTGATCAGATTTTGGAGGATTTATTTCATCTAGGTCAGGCTCAGCAGTTTGTTTTTCACACATCATTGTTCATAGTACTTTCTTGTAGTCTTTTATGTTCCTATGGTATCCATCTGAGTGTCTCTCATTTCCTCTTGACTTTTATTCCTTTATATATTATTCTTTTTTTTCTTTGTTAGGCTAAGTACAAGTTTATCATTTTTGTTTAGCCTTTCATAAAACCAGTGTTTTGTTTAAGCAATTATCTGTGTTATCTGTAGTGGGGATATAATTTATGCTTTGGATTCTTTTCCCTTTTAATAATTTTCAGTTTAGTTTTTTTTCAAGTTCTCAGGTATATATTTAGGCTGTTTATTTTAGCTATCTCCTTTTATGTATGAATTTAATGGTATAAATGTCTCTCTCTCTGATTCTTTTTTAGTTGTTGTTATATGCCATAGGTTTTTGACACATTGTGCTGTAATTTTCAATTGTTTCTAGGATGTTTTAAAATTCCTTTTTAATTAGATTCCTTGGTTATTTTGGAGTATTGGTTATTTTGTTTTCTTTGTACTAGTTTGGTTATTTCTGGCTTTATCCTACTGTGGTGTAAGGATTCATTATATGTTTTATTTTTAATTTATTTCTTTTGTTTTTGAGATTATATGGCTTCAATTTTTAAAAATTTATTGATAATTTGTTTTATGACCTAACATGTGAGAGAATGTTGAAAAGTGTTCTATATGTTGGTTAGAAACACGTATTTTGATGCTGTTGAATAAAATATGTGAACATTTGTTAGATTCACTTACTCTATTATATGGTACAACTCAGAATATTTGCCTGGATATTCTGCTCCTAGAGAAAGTGGAATGTCAAAATCACTAACCATCCTTATGTCAGTATTGTCTATATTTCCCTTTAAATCTAACAATATTGCTTTATACAGTTGGATAGTTCCAAGGTGAGGTGAGTTGCATATACATAGCTTCAATTCTTATATGTTCTTGTTGAATAGATCTTTTTTTTTTGTTTGTTTGTTTTTTTTTTGTTTTTTCGAGACAAGGTTTCTCTGTGCAGCTTTGCGTCTTTCCTGGAACTCACTTTGGAGACCAGGCTGGCCTCGAACTCACAGAGATCCGCCTGCCTCTGCCTCCCGAGTGCTGGGATTAAAGGCGTGTGCCACCACTGCCCGGCGAATAGATCTTTTTATCAGTAATGCAATGGCCTTGTCTCTGGATTATTTTTTTGTTCATGTTAGTGATAGTTTTATGTGATCTAAGTATGGCAGCTACTTTGGCCTAAATTCATGACACATCTTTTCCCAACTCTTCACATTCAGTCTGTATCTTTTGCGTCTATGCATGTCCATATGTCTGTGGAGGTGTCCATACTCATATGAGTGTACATGTATGTATAGGATATGCACATGTGTGATATCGATGCAGAGGCCAGAGGTCTGGTAATGTTCTTCATAAGCCATGTTACCTTGTTTTTTGAAAGAGGCCCTCTCATTGTTCTGGGGTGCATTAGTTAGGCTAGGCTGGCTTGGCAGAATGCTCTAGAATATGTCTATCTCCACTGTCTATCTCTTTTCAGCCCTGGAATTAGATGTGTGCATCACCATTTCCATCTTTTTTACACAGGTTCTGGGGATAAAATTCATGTCCTTATGATCGTATGACAAACATTTTACTGACTAAACTATCACCCACGACTCTGTGTCTTTATGGGTGAAATGAGTTTCCCATGGCAAAATATATGTGAACCTTGATATTTTATCTAGTTAGCTAGTTGTGCCACTTTTTCCCATTAATTCATTTGTTTGCTTTTGGACTGATGTATTTAACCCATTTATAATTTTAAAAAAGGCCAAGAAATAATTCAGTCTTGCTTTTTAAGATGACATAGGAAGTACAAGTATATAGGAAACTCAAACAATCAGAAGCACAAACTAAGACAATGAATTCAAGACACCAACATGACAGTCTCCTCAATGAACAAAACAGTAAACTGGAGATGAAAGCCTAAAATACATAGCAAAAACTCAGCAGGGTAATTTATACTTTGAAAAATAATCAAACAGAAATACCAAGAATGGTCAATCAAATAAAACCTACATCAGAAGGCATCAGTAGCATATAAGATTATGCAGAAGGATAAATTTCAGGTATGGATGGGAGACAAAGAGGAGACAATTATACACTCAGGAATATGTAAGGAAAAAATAATGAACATGAGTAGCATTTCTAAGATGTCCTTGTTGGCTTCAGTTACCAACTTGACATAGCCCAGAGTCTGCTGAAGGAGTCTCGGATTTGGGGTGGATCTAAGCTGGACAAAGAGCTGTCTAAGCAGTGAGACAGTGTCAAGCCAGTAAGCAATGTCCCTCCATGGATTTTTGCTCTGGGTTCTTGCCTTGAGTTTCTGCTCCAATTTCCTTCAGATATGGACTGTTACTTGGAAGCATAAACCAAATAAACACTTTATTCCTCATGTCGTTTGGGTTTATCACAGCAACAAAAAAGAAAAGTAGAACACAAGAAGTCTGGGATGCATTGAAGAGGTCAAACCTCAGAACTCATGCATTTTTAGAATAAGCTGAGATGAAGTTGAAAGGAATAGATAGACTATTTACTTAAACAGTACCAGAAAACTTCTAAAACCTAGAGAAAGAAATAGCATCCAAACACAAGAGACATTTAGAATTTCAAATAGACGTGGCTAGAGAAGAACCTTTCAATGACACTTCACAGACAAGATATCAAACATCCAAAGCAAATACACACACACACACACACACACACACACACACACACACACACACACACACACACAGTAAGTGTTATGAGGAAAATGCCAACTCACAAATGTATGTATAGATGAATAACTTCATACTTTTCATTAGCAAGACTAAACACCAGGACAGCATGAGGCAGTATATTTCAAGCTCTAAAAGTAAGTAACTGTCAACCAAGAATACTATACCTAGCAATGTTACCTTTCAAAATTGATGGTGGTATAAGGATATTTCAAGAGGAACACAAATTAAAGCAATTCATAACAACCAAGCCAAAACTGCAGAAAAACTTAAAGTAATATTGTACAGGGAGGAATAAGAATTCACAATTGTGTCAATAGATGCAGAAAAGGCGTTTGACCAAGTTCAACATGGCTTTATGTCACTGCTCTGGATGTGGTGGGACATGGGTGAATGAAGTCAATAAACGAAATGGACTAAAGTCTCATGCAATAGCCAACTTTATTCAGAGTCTCAGACAATTTATAATCTGAGGGTTAAGAAAGGACACATGAGTCAAGAAAGTTCTCATGAGTTTAAGCTGTATACAATCACAAGGACAAGCTGCACATGGCAAAATCATGTTTTTCATAGAGGCATACAAAGGATAGTTTAAACTTTTAATTTAATAACAGCAGCAAGCAATAATGGGTAACATGAAGCAAACTCATTCATATCTGCTATACCTGGGAGGAACACAAAGAAATTCCAAGTACAATTCCACGTTTTGACAAAACTGAGGTCACAAGACTCTTACCTTTTCTCAGAGTGTTCTCACAGGCACTCACAATTCTTCTCACATAACCCCATTCCTGGACTATGTTCTGATACCTTTGTGATAGAAGTTCTTGAGACATTTTTAGTATTTGGAACACATTTCAAAATAATAAATATTATGATCAATCCATGTGAGTCTATTTAATGGGTAATAGGGATTATTAAGATATAAATCAAGGAAATACACTCACAAATACAGAATGGTGTAGACAGTTGAAGTCGTCCTTTGATCTGACCAGGAACAAATCCTCCTCACAGGCAGGAGAAGGGGCATGTGACCCTTCTCCCTCTCCTTTTAAGAGGCCACATACAATAGCAGGAAGCACTGCCTCCTTCAGGGCCTATAGCCCAAGGTCATGGGTGGAGCAAATATCACTACAAATAAAGGCCATATACAATAAACCTATAGTCAGTGTTATGCTAAAGGGGTGCAGATAATTTTCTTAAGATCAGGAATGGCTAAGGTAGCCACTTCCACTTCTATATTTAATATAGTACTCAAAGTCTTAGAGCAGTAAGACAACTGAAAGACATAAAAGGTATCAAAATGGGAGTCAAACTTCCTATTTGCAGATGACATAATTTTATACTTAAAAAACATGTAGATTCCACCAGAATATTCTAATATCTAATAATCACTTACAATAAAGTTACACAATATGAAAGCAATATACAAAAATAAGTAGCTTTCTAATATGCCAACAATGAACTCACAGAGGAAGAAGTTAAGAACAATATCCCATCCATAACACATCCCAAACAATGATATCTGTAGGAATAAACCTAAGAAAGAAGTGAAAGACCTCCATAATAAAAACTTCAAGACAATGAAAAGGGAAATCAAAGAAGATACTCGACTGTGTAAGGATATTCTATTAGCAGAATTAATATGAAAATTGCTCCATTACCAAAAGTAATTTACAGATTCAATGCAATTGACATCAAAATTGAAATATTATTCTTTACAGAACTAAAAAAAAAGTATTTAAAATTTCATACGGAGGCACAAAAGACCATAAATAGCCAAAGAAATCCTAGGGAGAAATAACACAGCTGGAGATACCACAGTATCTGACCTTAAAAGCCACTTGTCACTAAGTATAGTGACAAAGACAGCCTGGTACTAGCATAAGAACAGACAGGTACACCAAAGGGACAAAACAGAAGATCCAGAAATAAACCATAGCTACTGCTGCCTGATTTTCAATAAAAGTGTCAAAAACATGAAATGGAAGGAAGCTTATTCAACTAATTGCACTGGCTAAACTGTATATCAGCTTGAAGAAGACTGAAACTAAACCATATCTTTTACCCTTACAAAAACAACCCAACGTGGATTAAAGATCTTGATTTAAAACCTAAATGGGGGCTGGAGAGATGTTTCACTGGTTAAGAGTGTTTGCAGTTCAGCTAACAAAATCCATCCATGTCAGGCAGCTCACAATCACAACTCCAGCTCCAGGAGACACAGCACCCTCTTCTTTGTGCTTCCTCTACTGAACACCTGAATACATGTGCCACACAAACACAGAAATGTGCGTAATTAAACTACCAATTAGCAAGTGGGCAAATGGAATTGATAGACATTTCTCAAAATAAGAAATACAAATAGCAAATACATATTTTAATAAGTTTTCAACATCTCTATTCATTAGAGAAATGTAAATTAAAACTACTTTGAGATACCATCTCACCCCAGTCAAAATGGCTATCATTGAGAAGTCTGACAATATGCTGGTGAGTATGTGGGGAAAGTGGTACCCTCATTCATTGCTGGTGGTAGTGCCAACAACTACAGCTATTGTAGAAATCAGTATGGAGGTTTCTAAAAGAATTAAAAGTAAGTATTACCCCATGACCCAGCTCTACAACTCCTGGGCATACACTCAAAGGATTCTATTTCCTTTCATAGAGATACCTGTGCATCCATCCTCACTGCTGCTCTATTGTGATGGCAAGGTCTTGGAAACAGTTTATATGTTCATTAGTACACAAATGGATAATGAAAATGCGCATAGCCATAATTAAATTTTATTCAGTCATAAAGAAAATAAAATTAGCAGGAAAATGGATGAATCTGTATAGAAAAATATCAAGCAAGGTGACCCAAACCTAGAAAGACAAAAACCATGTTTTCTGATGTTTCCCTCATAAGTGTATCTTAGTTTGTAATGTATGCATGTATCTATATATTACAATATAATGTGACCAACGCTTAAATACCTATAAAAGAGGTCAAGAGAGGATAAAAAGAGAGAAGCTGAGGCAGAGGTGACACCTTTGATATAAAAGTAAACAGAAATGGAGGTGATGAGTGGGGTACGGAGGAGAATTAGTTAAAAATGCTTTGCTCAATAATGCATAGTAATTATTATCTTGTATGCTAACTTAAAATGAAAATAAAAGGACAAAACAACAATAAAGAAAATAAAGAAGATATCTGAGAAAAAGAAAGCAACTTCATTCCTAATAGTTATAAAAATAAAGTATCTAGGAATAACTTTAAGGAAGGAATTGGGTGGGTTTTACAATTTATACTATCAAATATTGTTGAAGAAAGAGAGAAAGCCTGAGATGATATCCTATGCTCATGAACTAAAAGAATTACTACTAACAATTTGACCATGATACTCAAAAACTGATCTATAGATTCAATATCAGTTCCCATCAGTCACTGGTAAATGGCTGTTTTCGAAGAAATAGAAAAATTCCCCAAATCCCTATGAATCAATATTTTCCAACCTGTCTTCCACCTATTTCTGGTTGGCTGGCCTAGCTTGGCACTCACTAGTCACTCTTCTGAACCACATTGTACCATGTCCACAGTCATCTCCCTGTACTCAAATACACTTGACACTCTTCACACTTCGTTTTGTCACTCAATTCACCTGTGATAGTGAACTCAGTGTGTGCTTCCAGCTTCTTCCCCCTATTCTGGTTAATGAATATTCCTTAGACCTATTGTGTTCAGTAGAGTTCACTTGAACAAAGCAAAGCAAAATCTAACCAAATTAACAAATGAGGCTATTCTTAGAACCAGTGCAGCTTCCCCAAACTCCAGGCAACACTATGTTCAAACAGCATTGATAACTAAGTGGAAGTGAGGCTCAGTCAACAATTTAATTGACTACTACTAGTCAATTACTACTTAGTTAATTGACTACAACTTAGTCACTTGCAACTTGCTAATTGGCTGTGCAGTTCAGTCATTGGAATTAAACTGTATATAGGTTTGGTCCATTGGGCTCAGTGCAGGAGTCTAATGCAAATAAGTGGTCTCTTCCAACTGTTTTAACATTTGCGTCTTCTGATCAGAGTTTCCCCTGCATGAGTGTAGTGAACACTTGAGGGATTAGCACCATCTGTAGTTACCATAATCCTCAGAGTTTGGTCTTAACATGTTAGCCATCCATTAGAGTCCTCATGTTCTTGAATTTGGAAAAGAACCATTCAGCCTTCAGCAGATGGTTGCACACTAAGGACACTGCTTTATGAGTACTAGAAGGATAACACCAAGTATTTGGGATAAACTCCTCAGCCAGGCTCCCCATAACCAAACCAATTAGTGAAAAATGAGAATGGGCCACATAAGATTCTGTCAACTTCGGCCAAATAGCTTGTGTATTAATTCTTTGCAGTTGAGTCTACAATAACTGCTGTATTTGTCCTTATGAAAAAAAGAAGTGATAGCAAACCCATAGACAGCTTCTCTATCACCTCATAAGCAATCTAGCATTCCAAAAGAAGCAAAGGAAACCAGGAGTAAGGACAAGCGTCTAAAAGACTTTAGGAATTCACTTTCACAAAGGCAGTGAACAATTTGAACACACTATTGTGCTAAGGCTGCTACTAAAGTTAGCCACTGTGCGTCAATGATGCTTTCAGTTACATAAAGATTCAAGCTTAGCATGAAGGCCTAACCCCTGCAAACATCACTTTTTTTAAACTTTAAAATTTCTTTTTCTTTTTGAGATTATAATACAATTTCATAACTCCTCCTCCTTGCTCTGTTTCAAATTCATGGCCTCATTAATTGTGTGTGTGTGTGTGTGTTGTTAAACACAAACACAACCTGCTGTGCCTGTATAATGTTACTTACATGCATATGTTCAACAGCAGACCAATAAGCACTGGATAACCAATTGATGTGCTTTTCCTGGGGAAGAAGGCAATTGAACCTGTGTTTTTGAGACCATCATGCTTGCTTTCTTGCTGTTCCTGGGCACATGGCTGAGTTTTGCTTCAGGTCCTGGTGACTGTTCCACAACAGTTAAAAAAAAAATTCCTTAGGCCAAAGATAGTTAGCATAATTTATTAGAGCAAAGAAAGGCTGATTTGAGAATACGGCATTCCCAGGACCAAAGCAGGCTCTACAGACTGCTCAAATGAATTCACACAAAAGGAAGGCATGGAAAAGGCACTTAACTGGCCACAGCCTAGTCACCTGATAGACAGTGGGCTACAGCCTAGTTCACTAACTGGCTCCAGGTCCTCCTGTTGAAACCAAAGCTCAGATATTGTGACTGAACTCCATATTGGATTGCTCACTGGTCCCATTGCAGGAGCTGAGTCCAAATCTGTGGGCTCTTACAGTTCTTAGCACACACCTTGCATTTGGCATTCCTTCTACCTCTCGGCTGCCCTTTCTTAATTTCTTTATGGACTTGTCTCTCACTAAGCGATTACACTTGCAGCTCGTCAAAGCCCGTGTTTTTTTATGCAACTGCATCCGAGGTGATTATTTTTAACTGCTAACTAGAAGTGTGTATAGCAACAGTGACAGACTTGATGCAGACATTTCCTTTGACCCCAGATGCATTTATCCAGACACCTATTTGTCCTAGAGGCACTCCAGACAACTCCGGCCCAAGACCAATGCACAACGCCTCTCTACAAACCTTCTGCCTTCTGTGCCTAGTTGCTTCGTCCATCTCATGGACCTTTTTCTCAACCACTATGGGGTTTTTCATGTTCAGACTTGGCTTCAGGGAGTGCTCATTCATTGCTTTCCTTAGATAAGCTCCAGACATTTTTACACATTAAGTGTTTTTCTCAGAGAGATCACCCATGTCCTACAAACCTAGGGCAGGGTTCTATATTACATTACTTTACATTGATGTACTCACCTAAGTGTGAATATTTCATTTATTAACTAGTATAATTATTTAACAAACCTTTGGGGCTTCTATTGTCCTGTCTGTCATAGATGCCCCCCCCCCCCCCCCGACACATAAAAAAACTTATCTGTTATTGATCTCATAGTTCTCTGGTGCTCAGAACAGGCTATCAATAATACTTGTTAATTCATTAAACAGTCATAAATTAATTTAGGATTAGCATGCAGTGAGATATTACTTACTCTCTCTGTAAAATCTAAGTATTTCTAGGCCCTCTGTGAATGCCAAAATCCAAAGATGCTGAAGACCTTTATATCAAATGACACAGTATTTTGCAAACCACCTGTGCATCTATTTCTCTCTCTTGTCTCTGATGATTTATTTATTTATTTATTTATTTATTTATTTATTTATTTATTTATTTTAGTCAACTTGACATGAGTTGGGATCATTTTGGAAGAAAGAACCCCAATTTAGAGAATTCCTCTATCAGGTAGGTTTGTAAGCAAGTCTGTGGGAGCATTTTCTTGATTAATTAATAATATGGGAGGATCCATTGTATGGAGGGGCAATGCCACCCTTGGGCATGTGGTCCTGAGTTATATAAAGAAGGCAGAATGAGCAAATCATGGGAATCAAGTCAATAAGAAATGTTCTTCCATGGGCTTTGCATCTAGGTTTCTGCCTTGAGTTCCTGACCTGAATTATTCTGATGATGGACTGTAACCTATAAGCTAAATAAACCCTTTCCTCTTCCAATTGCTTTTGATCATGGCATTTTACGACACAACAGAAAGTAAGCTAGAACACTCCTTTATACTTTAAATAATCTCTACATTATTTATAACACATTAATTAATGTTAAAAGTTGTTAGAGTATTAGAGAATAATAAGAAAACATGCACGTATTCAGTACAGTTTCATTTTTTCTGAGTATTTTCAATATTTGCTTGTCTGAATCCACAGATTCTTTGGAAAGAGAGGGCTAACTGTATTTTGGATGCCTTTCTATTTAGGAGTGCAGATTCATTTATTTTAATATGTAGTTAATGCCAGGTAAGTCTTTGATTTCAGTGGCTTGTCATGACACTTGAAAGCAGGTGCTGAGGAACAAATGCTAGTAGATCACATTGAGAAGATTAATAAAGCCAATCCTTAACAGGAGATAGAGACCCCTGTTGCTTTCCTTTCTTGTCAATGTCCAGATAGCTGAAAGCTGAGAGTATATTATGATATGTGAATAATTCCAGAATATGAAGTCAGGGAGATTTTTTGTAAAGATGTTAGTCTGTGTGAACTTGAGACTTCAGTGTTCTTCCCAGATAACCTTCCCATGCTGCACTGCTGGCTCTTCTAATGTGAAGGGCCTCCTGGGGACCAGTAGAATGTTCTAAGTTTCAACAACTGAATTGATCTTTCTTTCAATAAATTCCTAACAAATACAGAAAGACTACAAAACAAGGACCCAAGCTATGGAAACCAGGGTTAAGAGACAGGCAAAGTGAAAATTCCACCCTTAAAATAAAGAATAGCCAACCTGAATGACAAGTGGCCCTGCAGTATTTGTGCAGCACTAAGACCCAAATTCAAACCTAAGGGCTCAACATCTGCAAAGTCTTCTTGTCCTTAAAGATGAGGAAAGGAATGAAAAGGAACTGAATAACAGCTCCAAGATTATTAACCATGTTGTATACCTTGGACAGTTCCAACTGAGAATGAATTCAAATATGAATAAAAAAAAACCTGCATTCCACAAGATGAATAAGTGATAATTTGTGGAAGGAGACCTGAGAATGATGACAAAATTAAGGGAGGGTCATTGACTGAGAACTGGAGGGCCCTCAGCTAAGTGTTTACAAATCTGCCTTCTCTGAACGTTTGCTTGGATCTTTTGTGTGTGTATTTTCTCCATCTATCCATCCATCCATCCATCCATCCATCCATCCATCCATCCATCCATCCATCCATCTGTTATGCCTTACCATTTTGCAGAATATTTTCAACAGATATCTTCTTGTTAAATACACAAAGAAAATAGTCAAAAATTACATGGATTAGATGGATCGTTATGGAACTGAGAAATTTTAATATTCACACATTGGAGTAGGTAGGACATGGAAGCATGAGTGATTATGACCACAGGTCCTCAGAGTCTACAAATGTGAATATTTACAATTTTCTTTTAATACAAGGGTCATTTAGGTCATCATCTAGGTGTGTGTCCATGCACACGGTATTATAGAAGACTCACCTTCTATTTGCAGAGAGAGTGAGCAGAGAAGAGTGAGGGCTCATTGCTTCACTTGATTAGCTTCCCAAGTAGCAGAGAGGCTAGAATTGAAACAGTATAAAAAAAGACAAAATTATGACTAGTTGTGATACTAGACTTACACTAAGAAGATGAATTAATGCTAGAAAAATTGGAGACAAGTTCAAATCCCTGGAGCTGTACAGTGGCAGGGCTCCTGTGACCACTCAGTTATCAGAGTTTAGGAGATGAAAAATCTCTCACATGAGAACACCAGAGAACCTCAGGAGGGGATACAGGCAGGTTCCTCCAGAACTCTGCAGCCAGAGCCACCTTACTTGCAAGCTTCTCTAGAGATCTTGGAAGAAACTCCCTAACATAGCTGATTCCCTCCTATAGGAGAGAAGATTGTCTATGAAAGCAACTGCAGGTCTTACGATCTATAGTAGAGGGTGTTGTGTGGGGTGGACTTTATGGAAGGAGAAAAAGGGACATCAATGAGTTTGGGGAAGTAAGAGCAGGTGCAACATGCCTAAAGGAATGATGAAAGATACAAATAGGTAAATGTCTTTGAAGGAAGGACATTAGACCCAAGACTCAATAAAAGCATGACTATGGACAAGGTGTGGCAGATGGGAAATGTCCTCCAAGATACCTCCTGTCAAAGAACGACTGAGCTCCATTAGACCTGCCCGGACCACTCTGCATCACCACAAAGTAGGAAATATGAACATCAGGAGGACGCACTACATTGCTGAATGAGAAAATACCATGCAAATATGAATTTCCCTATTACTATTGACATTGAAGGTAATTCAAATTAGAAGCCTGGCACATGTGTTTAAATTGTAGTAAAGGAGCTTAAGTTTATACAAAAGAATAAATGCTGAAGAGTGAATTGTGATAACAAAGACCCTGTGAGATATTAAAATAAATTAAGTGTCTGTAATAAGAGAGACATGGTATTCTCATAAGAACTGGAATAACCAAGTGGGACTCTGTAACATAGGGTGACCAACACAGATTCTCTGTCCATGGGAACTCTACATGTGGAAAAGATATTTTAACTAATCAGTGTTTGGTCATTATGGTACTGGAAAAATATTGTTCGGCGTTGGGAAGAAATGAGCTTGGCTTCTGCCTTTTGTATTCAAAGGTGCTTCAGATATGCTAACTACTTACATGTAAGCGAAAAGAATATAAAATCTTAAAAGAAAATGTGGTATACCACATTGTACATTAGAGGTCAGTGAGGCAGGAACTCTGTGAACCATTACAGACTTTAGCCAAAACTAATTTTATAAATATTAAGGCATTTTAAGAAGCAAAATATAGCAAATAAATATGTGCAAAGTGTGGAATGACAAACAACTGCAATGGGACTAATAGTTGAAGATCGTATTAGGTACAGAGAACTATATGACTATGCCCAAAGCATACAGCTCAATAGAAAAATGGACAGAGTTATAAACAGAAAGTGGGAAAAAAAGACAGTCTTGGGAACAAAATCCTTCAGGTGTTTTAGCAGCCATCAAAGCATCAGTGAATCATCCCTGTGTGCCAATGATAGGGACAGAAGTTCACAGGAGTGTGGCCTGCAGCTCAGGAGACTGAGTAACAGGTGACTCATTAGACTAATTACCATTGTGTGAAAACTACCTGCAGAAATTTGTTTTAAAAACCATAGTGGACACATTCAACCTTTCCAGGCATAGGTTTTGGACCAGGCTTAGGGTGGCAAAGCACATTTTTGTACTTGTGTATCTGACCTCACACCCAACCAGAAAGCAGTTGGTTACTCCCATAACAGCCATGCATCTATCATACCACCAATAGGCACATCTTGCCTGACAGGTCAGTATTATAACATACAGGGTCAAATCTGGGTCAGAGTGTTGCTGGCTTTCCCCACCCTTCAACAGACTTCCTAGCACCTTCCAGCACTACCAAAACTAACTAAAAGGGAAGAAGCTCCCAGAATGATTCTCTTTGACTTACACTCAGCATGTATGATGTCTTCAGCAACAGGGCCCTGCCATTTAGCTCTGTCAGGCACTTGAGAGCAATGGTAGTAGCCAGTATTGCTCTGAGGACCTGTGGGGTCTCTGACCAATAGGGAGGTAGACCACAGCTGACACTGGTATTTTTTTGTTAAATAAGCTATGGCTTCTGCACACAGCATTATCCACTTATGCAGGTTACTTCCATCTAAATTCTTTAAAAAAAAAAAAAACCCAAGATTTTATGTGTAGAGGTGTTTGGCCTCCATGCATATCTGTGCACTACATACATGCCTGGTGCCCAAGGCATCCAGAAGAGAGCATTGAATCCTAAGCAACTGGAGTTTCAGATGATTGTGTAGCACCATGTGAGTGCTGGGAAATTGAATCTAGGTCCTCTGGAAGAGCAGCAGTGCTTTAAAGGAATGAGCCATCTCCCTAGTCCCCAACTTTCTTCTTTTATGTTTTTTTGGTTAGCTTACAAAGTAGTAGGTTTCCATATGCCTTTTTGCCTATATCCTTGGTTCTGGTTATCCCTCTGCCCATATCATTCTCTCCATCAAAGCTTCCCACCCCAGGACTTCCTCTACTTTCACCTCACATGTGTTCTCATTCCTACATCTCCTTTCTAGGTGCCCAGGCTTTACACACACTCACTCAACGTAAACATACAAATATAAAAATTCAAAGCTGTGACAAAGAACAGCATTTTTCTTTCTGAAAATTTTGGGTCACCTCACTCAGTTTAAAGTCCAGTTTCACCCATATTCCTACAGATTTCATTTTTCTCTATAGCTGAATAAAATTCCATTGGTAAATGAACATTTTTACTATCCACTCATCAACTGATGGTGGTCTAACTGATTCTACTTTTCTAGCTGTTGTAAATAGAGCAGCACAAACATATATGTGCGAGTATCAGTGTGGTAGGATATCGAGTCTTTTTGTTATAGACCCAGAATTGGTACAGCTGGTGTGTGCTAGTTTTAGCTTTAGAATTTTGAGCCTTAGTAATTTTTGTATTGTCTACCCTAGTTTACATTCTCTATAGCAGTTAATAAGAATTCCCTTCCCAACATTATCAGTATTTGCTATTATTTTTTTCTTGATGCTAGTTATTCTGGCTGTTGTGAAATTGAATTTCAAAATACTTTCATTTTTGATTAGTTCCCTGAGAATTTTGTATGTTTTGATCATTTTCATCCTCCTTCCCCAACTCCTCCCAGATCCCCTCCTCTTACCTACCCACCCAATGTAGTGTCTTCATAACCCATCAAGTCCAATTTGTGTTGCCCAGTTATTCTTGAATGTGTGGTCTTCCATTGAAGTGTGGTTGGGTTCACAAAATCTCCACTGTAGCATGAATCTTAAATGGTCTTATTAATAAAATCAAACCTGAGGCCAGTTATTGAGGTGAATGCTGGAAGATCAGAGAAACAGAACAAGTTACAGCTACCTCACCTCGCCAATTCCTCAGCTGATCCTGCTTCCTCAGACTGGAAGCCTCTGAGTCCTCATCTGAATGGGTCAAAGCTGAACTGCTTCTTGAAAGCCTAAAAGTTTAACCAGGCTAGTTCCTGGTTTTCATGCCTTATATACCTTTCTGCTTTCTGCCCTCACTTCCTGGGATTAAAGGCTCACTTTCTGGGATTAAAGGCATGTGTCACCATGCCTGGCTGTTTCCAACGTGGCCTTGAACTCACAGAGATCCAGACGGATTTCTGCCTCTGGAATGCTAGGATTAAAGGCATGAGTGCCACCATTTTCTAGCCTCTGTATCTAGTGGTTGTTCTGTTCTCTGACCCCAGATAAGTTTATTAGGGTGCACAATATTTTGGGGAACACAATACCACTACACTCCACTCTTGGAAAAAATGGACTTTCTCCCTCCCAGTAACTATTAATGGCTAGAAGCTCCTCAGCTAGGGCTGGTACTTCATTCCTAGCTCCCTGATGTATGTTGGATTTAGTCTGGCTTGAGTTTGCACTGATCTTATGCATGTTACCACAACCTGTGAGTTCATATTGCAGCTACCCTGTCGTGTTCAGAAGATGCTGTTTCCTTGTAATCAACCATCAACTATTATACTCTTTATGCTCCCTCTTCTGCAATGATCCCTGAGCCTTGAGAGGAAGGGATGTGGTATAGATGTCCATTAAAGGCTGAACATTCAGCAGTCTCTTTTTCTCTGCACCTTGGTGAGTTGTGGGTATCTGTATTAATTACCATCTACTGGAAATAGGAGCTTCTTGTATGAGTTTTGAGAGATGTATTGATCCACATGTACAACTATAAATCATTAAGGATCAGTTCAATACTCTATCTATTTAGTAGAATAACAGTAGCAGGTTTTCTCCCAGGACCAATAACCTGTCTAGCCATAAGTTCTAGGAATGGTTGATGGTGCCAGATATGGTTTCATCTGGTAGAATGTGACTATATAATCCATTCAGAAAGTTGTTGGTCATTCTCATGATGTTCATGCCACTATTGCACTGTAGACGAAATTCTAAACAGTCTTAGAAAATAAGAAACAAAGAGCCAAATACAGAGGTAAATAGTCCAAGAGATCAGAGATTCATGACTACTTTATCTTACCACCTCGCAGCCATCGCTTCCCCAGAGAGAGACCTTCTTCCTGTGTGACTTGTGTTTTATTGCTTTCCTATTCTGCCTTCTCATTGGCTCTAAGCCCAGCCACATGACTTCCTCTTCACTGCCTGTCTATACAGACTTCCAGGTGTCTATGGTTGGTACCGGATTAAAGGTTTGGGTCACCATGCTTGGCTGTGTCCTTGAACACACAGAGACTCTGCCTGCCATGTGATTGGATTAAGGGCATGGGCTACCACTGCCTGACTGCTGTCCCTGACTCACTATGACCTCTGATCTCCAGGAAAACTTTATTTATTAACATACAAATAAAATCACATTTCAGCACAAATAAAATATCACCATATTGCACTAGTGGGAATTTATTTCCAGACTAGTCATTATTGTAGCTACCAGAGTTCACAGGTGGGTAAGATCGAGGAATGCTTTTCTCCTCCAATAGTATGCATAGTACCTCCAAGAACAATGA